ACTAAGCTGCAGGTTCAAATACCCAAATTCAACCTACTTTCCAAGAAAACTACTGTTACCGTTCCCATCTTCATATTTAGATGAATGGGGCTTTAGTGCTGTAAATGATTTGCTACTGAAGAAAAGAAATCGACTGGATTTTACTGAACGAGGAGCCTTGAGAATGAAGCTGACTAAACTGGAGTCTAATATAAAATCTCTCTGCAGCAGACATCAAGCACAAGGATCTCACTAACTTAATTAGACTAAACTGCAATCCTACAACATTTTCCCAGAAGTAAGCCTAATTGAAGACAATGGTACTTACTTCTGAGTAGACATGCATAGGATTGGGTTGTAAATATGATCTTGAAGTGAACTCAAATTGTATTTTGAATTTGTTAGGACTTTTTTTTTAATATGCTTAGTAATTAATATGATCAAAGTATTATAGAAAAAGCTTTCATTAAAATTATTTTATATTTATGCATTTCAGTTCTCTATTATATGTTTTGAAACTTTATTTTTTGTTTTTTTCATATTCCTTCATACTATAATTTTTTAAGTCCCCCAGTACTTCTACTGTCTTTCGTTCTTTTATTTTTCTCTTTCATGGATGCCATGTTCTTTGGAACCTTGTTTAAACCAAGTTAATGGCCTTTTAGGCTTCCTCTGTGTAAGTAAGAATTCACTTTTTGAATAGTAAGAATTATATATCACTGGGGGGGGGGGATTTCAGAGATGCTTAGGTGGGGCATGGCCAAAGAAAGGTTGGGATCCATTGATCTAGACGGTCTGCTTCAAATACAACAAAGCCTCCTCCCAGAAGGTAACAAGGAAAACTGGTTATGGAGAGGATGTGTAATGTCCCTGACAATACTGTGGACCCTGATCATTAGTAATAATTAAGGGAATATAGTCTAAGGAAATACTCATCAAGCATAAACTTGTAAAGCTGGCAAATCTCACGCATAAGCAGGTCATAATTTGGATCAGCTATATTTTCTAGATTATTTTCAAGGGCACTTCAATGTAGACTGTTCTGCAATAATTCAAGCAATAAATGACTAAGGCATAAGTGATCATCCACAGAACTTCTTGATCCAGGAATAGCCATATCTGGTACACGAGATACAGAAGTCATCTAACTATCAGGAAGACCTTCAAGTCCAAAAGGACCTCCAGCTTATGATTAAATTCAAAATCAGCATCTATGACCAACAATGAAATACTCAGATGGTCTCCAAACCCAAAGCAACTCCCATCTTGCTGGAATTGAACCTACATCACGTGAAAAAGAAATCTTTTTGAGTTCTATGGTTGAGTTCTATACATATCAGGATACAGTAAAAATTGTCTTATCCTTAGCAGTTCTTAAAAGTAGGTAAATATAACCTTAGATGAACAACATATGACAACCTGATTTGATTGATTTGATATGACTGATAAAAGGTTGAGATATTTAGTGTATAATTAGTATAATTAGATATTTAGTGATAAAGTCTATTATTAATAAAGCCAAGCTCATAAAGCTGATCATAGCCAAAAGCACACATCTATTAGGTTTATTTAAAGAAAAAAGTGTTAGTTAAAGAATTTTGTTAGGAAGAGATATTTGTATCCATTTGTACTAAAGTGAATGGGCAGATTCTTCTGTCCTGCAGTATTTTTCAGTCTGTGATTCATATTCCAGACTCAACATTCCATACAGGTGGTGTCAGCAATGGAACTTTGGAGGAAAAAATGGAATATGGAGAAGAAATAAAAGGATAAAACTGGAACAACTTTAGTAAAAATAAGTTTTTATATATGAATAAGACTTATGTAAAAAAAAATTAAATATAAATTAGTCTCCCAGCATAATGTATGGAAATGACATACGAAAAAACAGTGAAGAAACCTTCCTTAAAACGCAAGAATTATTATGTCAGAAAATGCTGCAGAACTGTCAGGGGCACTATGTATGAAAAAGATATTACGAGAAATGGTAAAATGAAGGAGGCTATGGAGAGAAATGTCTTCAAATGACAGGAAGAAAAAGTAAGATTAAATAAGGCAGAAGAAATGCAGAGCAATTTGGTGAAAAAGGCCTTTGGGCCTAGCAGATACTTTTTAGCATAATAGCTTCTATATTTTAATATATCCTTTTCCTGAGGCTTTCCAAATTTGAATGTGGAGATACCTGGCAACAAAATAATTGGTTTATAATTGACGATAATTTTAATTGCTTTATAGCTTCTACATAACTTGCTTTAATTTAGATGTTCATATCTAATTTTTGCTTCTGTGCCTTTGACAGACTGATTTTCTTACAGTTTCACTCATCCTTCATTGTGTTTTTTCATATCACTAGTGACTTAACAGGTCCAGCTGCCATCAACACTTCATGTACTTGTTTTACTTCTATAAATACATAATGAATCATTTCAGCAGTGTGCTGGCACCTGCTGAAATCATATTTCAATGGAGAAGCAGCAGTAAAGTAATCAAAATAGTATTTTGATCTCTTCTTTGTGGTAGGCAAGGAGGAACTAAAGATTATTGTCAATATAAACAATTACCGGAAGAAACTTTCTGCATGCTGTTTTAGGAGTTTTTCTGGGTCAATCCTCTGTGAAACATGCTGACTTAAGCATCAGCTTTGAACACACTGTAATACGTTCACAGAGATTTAGGTCAAACAAAGGCTGCCCTAAATAATTTTCATCATTTAATTTTTCAGGAACAGTTATTAATGTAAGAGCTGTATTAAATAATTTCTGTAAGCCATAGCTGTTGATCAGAATCTTGCAGTGTTCTGGGAGGAAATTAGTCCCATTACGGGAAAGTGGTAACATTGTGAGCATAAAAACGGTAACATCTTGTAGCAGATCAGTTTGCCATTGTCACAGTGAGAATTTATCAACACGTGATATAGATTTAAATATATGGATTGGAATATATGCATGTGCAGTATTTTCAAGTGGTGTTATATCTGTTCGTTATCACTCTTAATAGAATATATATTGTTCTAGGCTAGGGAGAAAAATGTTTTGTGTGGGAGACTGTCAGCCCTTTCATTTAGGCCAAGTCAGGAAATTGCATCCATGTCTGGTTGGTATTCTGTTGATATAGGCTTACTAACAGAATCTTGACTTTTTGCCTTTCCCTTCGTACATTCAAACAAATTAGGGAAAAGTCAGTCTAAGCTTGTTCGTCATGCTTTCTGTTTTGTAGGCTTAAAGCACATTTTTGTAACCCTTGTTTCTCCAAGATCTTTTTCTCTCACCTCACCTCACCTTACACACACACACACACACGCACACACACACACACGCACACACCTGGCTCTTTACAGGCATGAAGAATTTTGCAACAATATCTGATGATAAACCAGGAGACAGGAAATTAGAGCTCTCTACTTTCATCAGTTGGACTTGGTATCAGATTTAGTCAAGGATCTATTAAGGATATTGTTGGAATAGAAAAGCTATAGTTGCCATATCCTTATTAATTTGTATCTTTGGAAAGAAACAATCCTATCTAGTAAAGTAAGGATATTCAAAAACTTTTGGGAAGAACTTGCTAATGCGACAATGTTACAAACAAGTCCCAAAGAAAATGCAGCCTAATTCTAGCTATGTGACAGCATAAGAAATCTGAATTAGCATTTAGAAATTATGATTGAATGATTTCAAAGGTTGTGGTATTCAGATAGATTTATAACAGGCTTTCTTACATTATTAACTGGACCTGTCAGAATTGCCATCTCACTCCTGCGCTTCGCATTCGCTAGCTGCCAGTCTGCCATGAACTATGGGGGAGTTGGATGGGAGGGGGGAAGGCTAATGACTCCTCATACCTTCTAGAGACACAACTTCAAGGTCAGACAGCCTGGAAAGGCATGCACCTCCGAATGGCCTACTCTACAGTTGAAAAGACTGTTCCCAAAACATTTTATTTGAATATGATTCAACAATGAGGGGTCAACAATGGGAAGGGACAAAGGAGGAAACGTTAACCATGAAAATTTGATGTGCAAACCTCAGTTCTGGCTTTGCTATACTGTAATCCACTTAGCCCTTAGTAAAGTAAATCTTTTACACCGAATGGAGTAGTGGGTCGTTCTTGCTTAATGGACCAAATTGGGGAAGGACTGTCATATCCAGACTTTTCTTGAATATATGTGTGTTTGTGTGTGGGATGCATGAATGGTATTTGACTTTTTTTTTTTTTTTTTGCTGTAAACAAATCTCATAGCTTTTCATTTTTCAAACTTCCCATTGTATTAAGTTTCCTAATAATCCTCTGGATTATTTCCACTTGGAACATTTTGATAATTATGACTTAAAGTCACATTGGGTTAATGGTGATAAAGTATGATTAAATTAAGTGGGACCTAAGTTCATATGTTAAATAATTTTTCTTTATATTTAATTCATGATTACTGGCAGTCCTACACATGTTTACGCCAAAGTAAATTCACTTTTCCTACAAGCAGTTTATTACTAAATAACTGGGTATAGACTAAATTTATTCCTTCAGGTAAAATTGGTAAATATATTTTATACTGAATAAACAAGTACTTAAATAGTAGTATATATAATCCTTGTTCATGTAGATTAGAGAGCAGTTTGATTCCTTATAATAACCTGTTTCCCTAAACTCTCTTCAAAATTTGTTCCCTAATTATAATTATATAGAAGAAGAAAATTGCTAAACATACTAAGAGCCATCTGTATTTTGTATATTGAAATATAACTACATCTAATTATTTTATTTAGGTCTAATTACATTTATCTGAAAAAGAGTAAGCAAATCAAATTTACTTTTTATGATTGCTTTGATATTTTTTGGGAATGTGACCCCAGCTTGCTAATGAAAGGCCATGTGTGTCAAGCTCATGACATACAACACATAGAATATCTAAATATTGTTATATAAAGAGCTCACTTCTGCAATTAACTATATTATATTCTGTGTATTATTTCTTATTTTAAATGATGTAATTCTGCTATAGAAATCCTTAACTATTGCCATACATATAAAATTGCCTTGGATTCTGATGCTCCAGAGTATGGAGGACATAATAGACTGGATCATACTACAGACTTTTTTTCTCAGCCATATTCACATAATCATCGATCTAATTCTCTTTTGGTAAGTACATTTTTTTCTACTGTAATTTCTTTAAAGTATATCTTCAGAGAGATAGTTAATATTTTAAATTCTGTACTAAATGTCTGCATGTTGCCTTCATCTTTTCCCTTTATAAAATATGATCATTGATCTTGCATGAACAATTATAAAAGTAAATGACATAAAAAAGTACTTATATGGCATAAAGTGTTGGCTAAACAATTTCTCAATATTTTAAATTTTATATAACAATTCTGACCTCCCAAATATGCATATAATAAATTTAACAAATTATTTCTGTGTACATTTTTGTTTTCCTGATTTTTTTTGTTTTTTAATGTTTAATATACCAATAATATGCTTGTTTAATTCTTTGCATGTAAGCATCCTGTGATTTTCATTGCTAATATTTTAATCAACTGGGATCATCTATTAAAACTTCTGTAGTTTATCTCTTACACAATATGAGAATTTAAGTATTAAAAGTATTTAACTTAGTAATGCAAGCATACTATTTTTTATTTTCTTTTTAAGGTTTAATTTAAAAACAAAGACAATTAAACAATATGGGGTAAACTTGCATTTGATGCACTGTTTAATTTTTTTAATTTTTATGTAGAGATTCTTATAAAATGTATTCAGTGCAAAATTTTGATCACATTAAGCATAAACTACAGTCCCCCCCCCAAAAAAAAATGTAACCAGACTAGAATAATGTTGGATTCCTTTTCTTTCCTTCCTTTTCTTTTATTCACTGGGAAAATGTATTCACAGTTTAGACTATCTTTAAATTCAGGGTAAACAACATTAAATAGAGCACAAAAAGGAATTTAAATCCTTAAGATTTGTACTTAAGGATTGTACTTAATGTACCTAAGACATGAGATCATAAAAGAAAACAATATACAGATAATTTATTCCAATAGAATTCATAATTCTAGTTTACTTCATGTATTTCAATTCTTTCTTCCATCATGTCCATATGCCAATTAATATATTGCCAATTTTTTAAAATATTCTCATTTCCCTCTTTCTTCAAGAACTTACTAACTTCTTCCAATCAAAATTTCTTGGTTTTCTTCTCCCTATTATTCATCTGTTCATTCTCCCTTCATACATTTGTTTTGAAATGTACCTCAGTGTATTTTATTTCTAGTAGTCACTCACTTTTGTGTTCAATGAATATTCATTCAGCACTTCTGATCTGCCAGTAGTATAACTTACATTTGTTCACTCACATTTTCCTTTAGCATTAAAAAAATCTTGGATTGTATATATAGATTATTATACCCATTTCCTTCATACATTCTTATCATTCAGTCATACTAGCATTCACTACAAATCATTTTGTGAATGTGGCTTCAGATGCATACAAAATATAAATCAACAGCTGTGTTGTAAACTTCTCATTTGAGATTTCTCAATGACTTACTAAAGGATAAAAAAATCTGATCTATACACCCAATGTTTGTCACAAAGCAACACTGTACTTCCCAAATAATACTTCTCTCTTATGTTTTTAATCATAATTCTGCCAAAGAGCATCCTAGATACACTTAACCTACCTTGTTGTTTTTCATTCTTCCTATTTTTCCTCTCCTACCGTGTTTCTCATATAATAAGGCTGGGTCTTATTTTTTTTTTGAGCCCCGAAAAAATGGCTAGGCTGTCTTTTTGGAGGTGACTTAATTCCCCCCCCTTGCATCTTCGGGCAGGCGGGCAGCGACGACTTGGATGTTGACCTCGGCGTTGGTGGGGCACTTTGTATCAGGGTCAACGCAGGCAGCACCATATCCGGGTGTGCAACAAAAGTACTTCCTAACAGCAAGCCCCCCCGCCATTTCCCCTCCATTTCGCATGTTTTAATATAGGCCTTAATTTGGGGGGAGGGGCTTAATTTCATTTCATGCCTATAAAACATGCCCGGACTTCCTATTGGGGGAGGCCGTATTGTTGGAGAAACAGGGTATAACCGGACAATAGCAGCAGTCTTTCATCATCATGCACAGATGCAGTATTCCTAAACATGTTAAACAAATTATCAATTGTTGTAAGCAAGTCACATCTATATGTCACTATCTTATGTGTTGCCATCAATTCTAAATCAACTAAGGTGCTTTCAGATCCAATCATTTATTAGGCTACGTATTTTTTATTGTATATACTTGAGCCACTTTTGTCTAGTGATTAAAACATCATGCTAGAAACTGGAAGATCCTAGTGTCACTTTAGCCATGAAATCTAGGTGGGTGAAACTCTTAGCCCAACTCACCTCACAGGGCTGTTGTGGGGAAAATAGAAAGAAGTATTAGATATGTTCACCATTTTGAGTTGCTTGTAAAAAAAATAAGGTGGGATATAAATAAAATAAATAAACAACTAAATACAATACAGTATCAGAAACCAACTATGGTCATAGTTGTCTCAAAAGTGCTTTTCTAGAGACACCTGGGCTTTCTTGTTTTTTTCTTTGAAAACATTTCGCTTCTTATCCAAGAAGCTTGTTCAGTTCAGAAGCTACTTGGATGAGAAGCAAAACATCTTCAAAGAAAAAGCAAGAAGTCTAGTTGTCTCTTGAAAAAGCACCTTTGGGACAACTATGACTTGGATGACTGAGAAGCTCCATAGACAACCATGGTCACATTTATATTCTAATCAATCATCTCAGTGACCCTAAAATTTGTACCAGTAAACAACAACCAGTCACTTTAGTATCCTGAATCATTCTGTATATACTTTTCTGCATATATTTTCTGCATATATGTACATTCTTGTTCTGTACTTCATATATCACAGTGAATGAAATTCCAGTGTGGAAAAGTGATTTCAATGCAGTTTTGAAGAGTGGTTCTCCGCAAATTTTACTATTCTACCAATGTAATGAAAAATTAATATACAGCAGATAGCCTCACATAATTATTATGGTCTTATTAACAATAATATTATTAACAACAATAACAATAACATTATCAACATGACAAACATAGTGCAGATGCAATATACAATTAATGTATACAGAGGTTGGAACAACTGTAAAAATAAATTTAATAAATGCATGTGTAAGAAAGCATGATAAAAAAATTAATAACCAAGCATTTAATATAGTTTACATTTAGATGCAAGCTAATGGCATGATAATGGCACTACAATATAAGTTTGAACCCTGAGTGTGGGTCATCCTTTCCTTTGTGTTCCTTAGCAACCCAATGCACTGAATGAAAGTGATGGCCAAAGCCGAGGACACCAGCACACACACTACTTGAAGGTAAACTTGCAGACAGTGTGTAGGCCAAATAGTGGCATGATTAAAAAAAAGCAAGATCCTCATCTCCATGCCTAAACCGATAACTGTGAAACAAACCACACCTCACCAAACACTAATGTATGTTACAAATTGGAAGTAGGGTCACTTAAAACATCTTAAGACATCTGTTCAGTATTGTGTTGTTGTTTTTAATTGGTGGACTTCAGAATTGAATGGACAAAGAGTATTATGACATGTTTAAATCTAGCCATTTACATTATCACCTTTTAATATTACAGACCATTTTCCTCATTTTCTCAGCATGAAGAACATAATCTAAAGACTCCCCCTGCATGTTTCTAGTAAGCAAAGATGATGTCCAATTTCTACTCATTTCTCTCCTCTAGCCTTGATGTTTTGAACAACTCTTGATGTTCCAAATAACCATGCATCTATGATTTCTGCATATTACCTTTAAAACATGCTGGGTGGAACAAGTAAAAAAAAACTCTTTTGGATAATACATTTTCCCCTTAAGATTTCTCAAAGCAGAAAATAAACCTTCCTAATATTAATATTATTTCTTTTTTCATATACTAATAGATTTGAAACAAAATAGTAAGCTTGTTTTTGCAACTGGTTCAAGGTTATTTTATTAGGTATATTATTTGTGGAACAACCTTCATAATATTGTCAGAAGAAAAAAATAAACGTGGCTTACAGAAAATACAGTTCCTGATTTCAATGATATAATCCTCTGCTTTGATATCATTCATAATAAAAGAAAATAAAATTTTTATAGATCAATACACAAAGGTCTGAAGTATAAATTTTACTGGAATTTTTTAAATCTCATTGTTTATAGTGAATGTGACCTGTTAATGGGAAAAGGTATAGGCTTTTTTGTAAATAACTTAAATGGTAATATTTAATTTTGATTAAAATCCAGCTTCATACTTAACCTGAATTCTTATTGATTAAGATGGCCATTCTAAACATTCTCAGTTAAAAATTAAATAAATTAAAAATCCACATAGCATTAGATTGTATTCATAAATATACCTATCTCTATTCGCTAAGCACTTCAGCTAAAGCTCATCTATTTGAAACATATTTGTGTTGAATTTCTGGATGGAAAAAATGGTAAAGTGCTCCAATAATGAGATAATATTGAGGTGGAAACTTGTGACCTGGTTGTGAAGCCAGTTCGATAGAGCTTGTCTGGATACAGGAGAATCCAGAAGGTTGCTTTTCACAAGAAAACTCACAAGATCTGAATGGAAAATGTAAGCATACTGAGTAGAACAGGAGCCAATGAAGGAATATCAAGCTCTCAGCCTCACGCAGAGTCTATTTCAAGGGCATTGGACTCAAATGAAATTTTATTTTCTAAAGCATACTTGGATATAAATACTTTGATCTTTCAAACAGCAAAGCAACTAGACATCTGGTGACTACCTTTTCAACTTGGGATATAATCAAAAATAAAAATAAAAAAATCATAAAGGTTTAAAATTAATCAAAAGAAAGTTCTTAGTAAAAATTATCAAGAATTTGAATTATAAAAATTAAAACAGGAGGGATCAGTTAAATTTTAAATTATCTACTTTAAAGTACTTTGAATTTAATTAAATAAATAATACATACCTCTGTGGGAAAGAAGACAATTTAATTTTTTTAAGGGGACTCAATGGCTAAGCTTTTTAAACAATAAGATAAGTGGCATTTGAAAAAGACCTATGAAGTGCTAAATTGAACTAAAGAGTTAAGGACTAAAATAATTCTTAAAGGATCATTTTGATGCTACTTCTATATGGATTTCAAATTTAAAGATAGAAATGGCTACAATCTGAAAGCAATGAAAATAGGGAAGAGGACATTGTTAACAGAGCAGATAGGGATTACCACAGATATATTCCAAAGGATATTTCAACAGCTGGGAAAGAATCTTTCAGCTTCAGTGACAGCTTTGTGAAGCTGTCAAAGAGACTTGCCTATACCTGAATGGAGAATGAAAGAGAGATTTGCAATTTTGGAATAAAAAATGAACCAAAAAAATTCAAGAATCTAACATAAGTGTCTGGGGAAGACATTGTTTGAAGCTTTAACAAAAATTGGGAATGGAAAGAAGATCTGGAGGCAGAAGTGGACAAGGTATACAAAATGAGTACACAATAAGCAAAATTAAGAAACATACCAAGAATCATGCTTGCACACTTTTTCAGGAACAAGACAAGAGGTTTGCAACATTTTACTACCAAGTAAATTAATAACTCAGATGTAATTTTGCTCGCAGAAATAGCAATTGGATTATTAGGTAACCAAACATACATAATTTTGACTGACAGGAGGGTTAAACAGAAGAAGATTCTATCTCGTTGAGATAAACTGGAAGGAGAACTTAAGAGAACAATTAAGCAATAGAAATTTCAACTTCATTTTGTTCAAAAGGAGATTTCTTTGAAAGATTTAAGAGCTCAAAGAGATGCAGAAAATTTAAAAAGAAAAAAAAATCATCTGAAACCTGAAGAAGAGACTACTAAGTTGGGTATTACAGGTAGAGAAATTTCCAAGTTATAAAATAATTATGGAGCTTAACACAAGATTAAAGGAAATGTTTGATATAGTTTAAAATTTAACAGGAATAGAACAACATGTAACAGCATTTGAATTGGAATTATGTAGAAATGATGAACATGTAATTGCTAAAATATATCAGCTGTTGAAATTAAAGAAGAATAAGTTGCAGGGTGCATGATAAAATGGACTAAGAATTATAAGGTTATAATATACAGATGCATCACTGGGAAAGTATGTGGTTAAAAGGACTGAAATTCATGTCTTATGATTTTATAGAAAATTTCTATAAAATTGTATAAAGCTGGTTGTATATCACACCAGAAAAATAATCTAAAATGTATAAATGTGCTCTGATCATTATTGAAAATATGAAAAGCCTAAAATTTTACTATGGACTTCTGAAAGAATTAAAAAAATATTGACTACAAATACATACGATAATACTGAGAATTTTAAAAATTAACATTATGATGAAACCAGAGATTTTTTTCTACTGGGACTTAGAGGCACATGGAAAATTGGTTTTATATATAGTAACTTCAATAAAGCTATTACATGTGCAAAGGTGGAAAAAATAACTAACTACCATAATGGAGGATTGGTCTGTGAAGATAATAGAATTAGCAAAAATGGCAATATTGACCTATTTGATCAAGGAAAAAATAATTACTTTCTTAAAAGACTGGAAAACCTTTATAGACTTTTTGGTTAAAATAGATAAAAATAATATGGATTTATTGATTGAAAAGAGTTGAAAGGAGAAGTGAACTATGTGATGCAGTCCTGTAGGGGAAGAGTAACATTAAGTATGTTTTGTAACTGATAGGGATCTTTATTTATGTTATTAGCATGACAGCCATATAAGGTTCAAAGAAAATGAATGATCTATTACTTTGTGAGGTAAATTAGGTATAGTAACTCCTGCTGCACTGGTTCTTGCTATAGAAGTTTAAGCACAGATTCACACGTGCAGTATTTATAGAATAAATTAAATAACTCATTAGTTAATTGGAGAGAAAAGACAGAAAAAAACCCCAAAATGGCATGTGATAAAAAGACAGATAAATTGAAAGCATAATTTATCCTACATTCCTTTACAAGAAAACAGTTTTTTCAAATATTCAAGCTTCAATTCTGTACCCACTTTGCTGGGAACAAGCCATTGACTCAATAGTGCACTTGGACACATACACAGACACATTTATTTTACACACAGTGTATATAAATTTCAGCTACTTTAAACCCCCATAGTAACCATCATCCATAATACTGTAAATGATCCAAGTCTTTTGTTATCATGAATGTAAATAGTATTTCCTTTGGTAATGTTGCTTCTTTCCAGATTCATCTCTTTTGAAGTCATTTGTTATTACTTCAGTAATGTTAATTCTATACCAAACAATTGCTAATTGTTTGCAATTATAACACTGGATTTTGGTGATGAAAATTGGTTTCTTTTTGCTTGTTTTATTTATTGATTCAATTTGTTTCTGGTATTTCTTAATCTGCATTGAATTTCCATTTAATCTACTTAACTGTAGAAATGGGTAGTGGTAGAATGATGACTTATTCTATACTTGGTACTTTATGCTTCTGCATTTTTCTATAGAAGTATATATACTCTTTGTAAATAATATTGAATCACAAAACAATTGTGCAAATATTTTCAAAGGGAAATTTCACTTATGCCAATTCAAATTGAACACAGGTATGGTTGGTTTACATGTTTGGATATTTAGGTAAATCACAAAACTTAGTGTACCATGCATTCACATATTATTCTCAGTGGAGTGAAGAAATTTCAACTTTGCGCTGTCTTACATGTTTTCAACTGCAAGCATGACATGTATTTGCTTTTGCTCAATATGATATGACAACTTGACACTCTCATTAGCTGTTGTTTTATCAATTATGCAGCAATCATTGACATTTTTCTACAAAATGTACGTTATAGTTTAAACATCAATTAATGTAGATATTTAGCCATGTTAAAATTCAAATTAAGTATGTTGCAGAATAAATGTTAGCAAATATATTTATGTTGATATTCTATTAATGCCATTTGAACCTGTATTCAATTAAATTGATGTGGCAGGCATATTGGATGTTTTTAAATGGGTAGGATGAGGGTGGTTGAATCAGAAATTGGTTTCTTTTAGGATGAAAAGGTACATTTCATATTGATGCACTTCTGAAATTCTTTTCTCCTACTTTTTCATAAATTATTTGTAGCTGTCCTTCTTTTTCCACATTATATATCTTTCTTTTTTTAAAAAAAAATGGTATTTATTCAATTAAACTCGTGTGCAATAGAAAATAGTCTGCATTTAAACGGGGCAAGTTTTTGCCTGAGTTCTTGAGGGTAGAAGACAATATCCACAAAACCATAACACGGGATTAAAATATTCTAGGAAAAATCCTAATAATACCAATAAGACTGTGTACTAAAAGTTTTCAGTTATTTTTTTCAAAAATTTGGAGCTTGAAGAAAACTCATATCCTTTCATTAATAGTGAATTATATTAAAAAAAGGAAGTACAGTCATTGAGATCTCATTGCCTACCAGACACCTATTTGGAGGTTAGCATTTGAGAAGATAATTAAAGTTAATTCTATAACCCTTTCGAATTCTTTTCTTTCTGAGGTAAGAATGCTGCCCTCTTTAACAGTGTTCTAGAAGTAGGAAAAACATCCTTTTTAGCATATCTCTGGGGGATAGTTTGATGAAATGTTGGCTACTCTTTATTCTGGATAAATATATTTTTAATCATTAAATATCTGGCTCTATATTTTTGTGCTGATTTTACTGTGAAAATATATTTTATTTTTATTGTTGTGAGTTACCCAGAGTCTCTTGAAGGTAACATATAAGTAAACTTATATATATTGTAAAAGTTCCCATAACAACATCCTTTTGTCAGTGACAATTTTTCGTTAACAGATTGTCTGCTCTTCATTAATGACTGTCTATTACTTATTTCTCATTAATTTTGAAATTTTCTCCACTGAACTATTTGGCGTATCAGCAAATATATGGTTTTGTTTGCTAAAAGGTTTGGAAATAAACCCCTTATCACATATTTTGCAGTAACTAAATATCATTAACTATTTATTTGACTTTTTATTTTCTTTTTCTGTAAAGTACAGGATTCTAGCTGTATGTCAAATGTCTTTCCCTGCTGAGCAGATTTGTAAGAGTTATTTATCACAGAAACCTTAGAGTAAAATACTCTGCTCTCTCTCTCTCTCTCTCTCTCTCTCTCTCTCTCTCTCTCTCTCTCTCTCTCTCTGAAGGATGCAAAGTTTATCATTTCTATTAATTACTTAGTCTTAAGACTAAATATACATTCAGAGTTTCACTCCACATCCATGCCATATTTAATAAGTGTTTGACTCTTCAGGGACATTAAATAATGTAACATTATAAGTAATTTATTTAAGACATTAAAATTTATGCCTCCCTTATCGCAAAGGTTTTTAATGGATCAATAATAAGACATTTTTTATTCTCCCTTTAGGTATACATTCCAAGCAGAGTGGCAATAGTGTTTCAAAACACGGATATTCAGATGTAAAGGCTTGCAACTGGCTCCATTACTTCGAAGGCCAAGTAATATTGGATGATAATGGCATCCAAAATACTGGCGGGGGGGGTGTTTGCATAATGGTGTGTTCATACTAAGAAATTCAAATAAGCATTTATTTATTAATAATTACAAATGTATTATAAATTGTTTATTTAAAGAGATTACCTATAATGATGGAAGAACAAATGCATTATGAACAATTTGTATTATAGAAGTGGATTTCAGAAACAGTTTGTTCTCACATAAAGATTGAAGTATGTTACAAGGCATGTTCAAAAAGTAGTTGCTATATTCTCAGATTTTTTTTTAATCACATGTGGGTATACTTTTTTCATTAGATATCAATTTATGTATTCTATCTAGAGTGTTAGCACTCATTCATTCTTTATTTACTAGCCAAGTGTGATTGGATCATAAGGAATTTGTCTCTGGTGCATAAGCTCTCACTGTACATATAAGCAACAAATGATAAATATGGTCATAATAATACAATACAATAATCATAAATCATAAGATATAAACACAGTGATAGACATAGGATACTAAATAAGCAAACAACATAAATCATAATAGCATGCTAAATAAAGGCAATCAACATAAATAATGAGAAACAAACAACAAAATTATAGTCAAAAGAAGCTAAGGAAATAAGTAATAGGAAAGATGAAAAGATTAGAAGGATAATAGAAAACACAGCCCTACTAGATAGTTTGACATCCTACGGCATAGACACTGTTGTAGAAATTAGTTGTTTAGCAGAGTGGGGGGTGGGAACTATCTTTGTGTCTGGTTGATTTGTCATGCAATACCCTATGTGTCATATTGAGGGAAGAAGTTGAAACCATTTATGTCTAGGATGTGAGGGGTCTGTAGATAATTTCACAGCTCTCTTTCTGGCTTATGCAGTATCCAGGTCCTCAATGGAAGGCAGGCTGATTGCAATTATTTTTTCTGCAATCCTAATTATCCGTTGAAATCTATGTCCATTCTAGTTTGGTAAATACAGGTAAAAACGTAAATATTTAACTTTTAACCCAGTAAACATTTAAAAACAAATCATATTCACTTTCCTAATTTTTTTACCATGTAGACTTTAAAAAAAAAGTCCTGGCAGTTTCAAGTGTATTTTCAATGAAATTAATTCATGTTCATTTGTGTTAAAGCCTGTCACTGGCATTGAGCCATCTGCATCATTAGTTACACTGCTAACTAGTTATGACTTAACATCTTTTGAAACCAAACTATGTCAGTGATCAGTGAACAATGGTAGAGAATTATTTTTACCAAACTAAAAATTTGGTATTCAATAAGTTATCTTTAAAAATAATAATACCAGTAGCAGGTATAAAGGGATTGAATTCTGAATTTCAAGAGCTGTAAAAATATCTTGTATAAAAAGTTATTTCAGTTTTGTTTTAGAGTCAATGTTGATATATAATTATCAAAAATATTCAGGGCAGAATTTGTAAGTTATTATTTTGCTATTAAAGACTATATCACCAGTGCCTTACTAATCTTTTCTGATGATAGCTACTCTAGATCAGAGGTTGCCAACCGGTGGGCTGCGGCCCATTGGTGGGCCATGAGAAAATTTTGGTGAGCTGCAGAGATACCTCACTCCCAGAGCACCCCCCCAAAGCAATTAATCCAGGCTGCGCAGAAACACAAGGCTGTGCTGCCCACATGGCCCGCGGGAACCATCCCCGCCCACTCACTCCTTACCCGGCAAACTTGCCTGCAAAATTTCTATTTTTCCTTTTTCCAACCATCATCTGTTCTGCTGTGCCAGGAGATTTAGATTAGCTAGGAAGCAGAAAATGGTTGGATTTCTTGCTTTCTAGCTTGTCTTTAGCTCTTCAGCTCTGCTTTTAAGTACAGCTGAACCTCCCTTAGGACTGAAGGTTTGCTTGCAAGCAAATTCAGTGCAAACTCATGGCAAGCAAATTTGAGAGACTGAGCTAGCCGATGGCAGATAGATAGATCACTGAATGATTCTGTGAGCAACTCAATCTGCCTGCTTTGCCTGATTTTGGGTAAAAGTTGCTCTTTTTTATAAAAAATTCAATATTTACATACATGGTGTGTAAATTTTTATTTTATGAGTTTGCTTGCAAGCAAATTGTATGTGACAAACTGAGCTAGCTGATGGCAAATAGATAGATCTCTGAATGAATCTGTGATTCTGTGAGCAACTCAATCTGCCTGCCTGCTTTGCCTGATTTTTGGTAAAAGTTGCTCTTTTTTATAAAAAATTCAATAATTATATACATATTTATAATATTTACATACAAGCCATGCCCAGCCAGTCACATGACCACCAAGCTACACCCATAAATTAGGCCACGCCCACAGAACCAGTTAGTGGTCCCTGGGATCTAAAATTATGAGTTTGGTGGTCCCTGAGGTCCAAAAGGTTGGCAACCCCTGCTCTAGATGCAGCTTCTTAGTATCATGTCTAGTTGGCATGCTCTGCTTCAAAACTATCTGGAAACATTTAATGCATCTCCAAACCATTCATTTTAGAAATAAGTGAACAATAAAAATTTCAGAAATTATTCTCACCACCCTAAAAGCTAGATAAAATTCATGCAAGAAGAAACAGTTTCATTATCCTGCCCACATATTTACACAAACACCATCAGATGAGAATAGGTAAAAAGTTTGCGATAAACATCTCATAAGCCCAGTGAATAAAATTTCTCCTATTAATAGTGTTACTGGAATACAGAGGTTCAGTATATATAAATGCTATAGCACCTGGTGTATTTAATTCTCTGAAAATAATAAATTATAAGGTTTAGGTTAATTACCTGTTCAACAGTTTGCCCTTTCCAGAAAAAAGATTCAAATAGTTATGTAAAAGTTATGAAATTCAGATAAATTTTTCAACCAAGAGATAAAATAAACAGTCCCGTAAATACAGGTGCACTTTTATTAAATTTACACATTACACATAATAAACACTTTATTGTTTCTCGATTTGTATATATGGTGTAAGGATATTATCCATATAAAACTTTTGTGTAAAAAAAATAGTATGTGTAATGAGATGTTATAAAATGATGTGAAAATAAAGGAATGTAAAATTGATGTTTGTGCATTTTGGTATTGTAAAATAACATATCTATGCCCATTAGAAGCTTTAATGAAAAATACTGGTTCAAACAGAAGAAATTAGAATTGCAGTTTTGTGAATCTTTCCATCTAATTGACATACATTATCTTCCCTTAATGTCAAAAATTTACTGAAAGCAAATAAAATTATGTGGGCATGGGCATGTGTGCATGCGTATGTATACTTATTCCATATACAATACAAGTGTTTGCAACAACTGGGAATCCTAAACAATGACGAAAGTATTTGCAAGTACAAATACATATTATTCTTGATGGCCTGAATACATAGTTCATATTTAAAATGCACTTCAATTTACCTACTGTTTATTTCGACTGCAACATAAGCAAGTTTTGTTAAATATAGCAGAATTAGTTTCTTGTTACATAAATGTGCTAAGCACGCTTTTCAAAAAGGGACAAGTATTTCAAAATTCATCAGTGTTAATGGTAAAGTTTGTATTAACTTTTGTGGCAACAACCCACCCAGGATTAAAATATTCAGTTAATACTCTCTATCCAAGTTTATGTGTCTGCAAGGAGAGCTGGCACAACGTAACAGTTTAATGAATAGTCCATTTGTGTAAGCAGTTTAATCACAGATGAACATTTAACAAACATTCCTTTTTCAACTTTTTTTCCAGTTTTGCCCATAGATATTAGTTGCAATTAAATTGTACTTGTCATAAAAGCTGTAGTTTCTAAGCTACTTTGTAGGCTGTGTTCCAACTTGATACAAGCTGTACTATATCAGTGCTGCCTTAAATATAATACAGAATAGGGCAATTTGGAATATAGTGGTTCCCAATCAAATGAGAATGGAAATATCTGACTCGCCCTATTTCCAACTCTCTGTGGACCTCTGCATCATTTCAATTGGACTGAGGTTTCCTGAAAGACTAGGGGAAAAATAGGAAAAAATGTAGAAATAGTTCCACATTTTTGTCCTTTTTAATATAGCACTGTGGTAGAAAGGGGATTATTGGAATCAGATAGTTTGTCTCAAATCAGTGACTCTTGAAATTAGTCTCCTCAACTGGAGTTTTTAGGAAGAAAACCAGATTATGGGAGGCAAAGAGAGAAATTATTTATAAATACTGTTACTGCAATCTTACAATTCTCATCCTGGATGTTTTTGTTTATTTGTATGTGTTGTTGTTTTATTCTATATTAGACCCTTTTTTTAAAAAAAAAGTCTTCCATTGTTCACTATATACTTATTTTTCATCCTGTTTTCAGTTCCTATCTTTATACATAACTTGGTTTCTTCTTAAATAATTGAATAATATTACCTAGTTGGGTAATTAGGGTGTTACTTAGTTCAATAATGAAACATTCGCAAGAAAACAAACAAACTCAAAGACCATCAAAGACTCCGCAACGGATACTAAATATTATATGTGACTTTTTTTTTTGTTGTCTTTTATTCTTGTAAACAATTTTCTTCCCATCTTACACTGACTCAGTAGATGCATTTGTATATGGTAGTCTAGGAAGCAGTTTTGCGGCTTCCCCATCTTCAGATTGTATTGGAAAGCAGTTGTGATTCAAAATATGAATTACTATAACTAAAAATAACAATTATGAAAAATGATGTCCTTAATCCCCTCTTAATAATTTTGAAAATTAGGATTGAATTTCAATCCAAATTCTATTCATTGAACCATTACAGGAATTTTTTAAAAAGTCATTTTATGTAGTACTTTGTATCAGAATCAGCCTAAAAAAATCATAAACCCATTTAGCAAAGAACTAAATCTTACCTCCATGATATGTTTAATATTTTAGTGTTTTCATGTACTTGAATGAGTTGCATCATCAGGTTATGTATAATTCAGTCTTCTACATCAAGTCAACATTATTGAGTCATATTATGCTGCATCCTGTTTATAACCCAGCTGCTTTCTGTATGAAAGATAAATCTCATTACACACTGTATCTCATTACACACTGTATTTTTTAATAAAAAATCTTTAAGGTTTTGAAGACAGGGAATGTAGTAAGGAATCAGCATTCTAACATCAAAATTTTCTTTTAATAGGTAACACCACTCCCCAAAGATTGGGAGAAAAGCAAGACTCCCCTTCTAATACACATACACATATATACACAGAGCAGTGGTGTGTTTCAAAAAAGTTTACCACCAGTTCA